ACACACGCCCTTGGTCATTTTGGAGGCGGGCGGGGAGGTGGCCCCGGGATTTGCCGGCAGGGGAGAGGCCAAACTCCTCCGCCCCCCCCCACCTGCATAGCAGCAAGGGGGCACCAACCCCAGCCCCCGCTCTCGCCCCCCAGTTCCTGCAGGCGGGGGCGCCCCTGCGGGAGGAGATCGCGGCCGAGGTCTACGAGGACGAGCTGGACATGCGGCGCTCGGGCTCCTACCTGAACAACAGCATCGCGTCGGCGTGGAGCGAGCACAGTCTTGACCCCGATGACATTCGGGTGGGTGGCACACTCAGGACCTTCTTTTGACGCTAGCTATACAGAAGTGCAGAGTAAGAGTTGCCTTTTGCAGTCTTTCACCCAGTGGGGTGGCGAGGGGGACCTCCCTCCGCCAGCGGGGGACGAGGGGAGGGAGAGGAAGCAGGGGGCAGCAATCCCGGGCTGCCGGATGGTCTGTAGAAAAGCCGTTATGAAGGCTTGACATATGCAGTGCCATTGTTAGTCTCCAGAGTAAACGCTCAGTTGAAATGTGGGGGAGGGGGTGAACGACCAAGCTCTAGGGTTGTTAGGTATCAGTTAACTGAATATTCCTGTAACTGCACCTAATCTTATTGGTCACAGCATGGGTTCCCAAACTGGGGGGCACGAGGTGACCCAGCCTCTCCCCCCCCCCCCCATCACTCCACCCTCAAGAAAGAGCCCGGTCCATCTGGGGCAGACTTCAAAATGGCCACCTTAAAAGGGCAATACCTGCTCTGCTTTTAGTTTTGCTGCTAATTTTTTTCGGCCCCGGTCAATTCCTTTTTTTCCCCCTCAAGTTTTGCTGTTATATTTTTTTGGGGAGGGTGGGGGGGCGTGAGGGTTTGTCAAAAATCAAAAAGGGGGCGTGATGCCGAAAAGTTTGGGAACCTGGGGCAGACTTCAAAATGGCCACCTTAAAAGGGCAATACCTGCTCTGCTTTTAGTTTTGCTGCTAATTTTTTTCGGCCCCGGTCAATTCCTTTTTTTCCCCCTCAAGTTTTGCTGTTATATTTTTTTGGGGAGGGTGGGGGGGCGTGAGGGTTTGTCAAAAATCAAAAAGGGGGCGTGATGCCGAAAAGTTTGGGAACCGCTGGGTTACAAGTATATTAGGAGCAAGAGGAAGACCAAGGACAGGGTAGGCCCACTGCTCAGTGAAGAGGGAGAAACAATAACAGGAAACTTGGAAATGGCAGAGGTGGACATTAGGAAAAACTTCCTGTCAGGGTGGTTAAACACAGGAATAAATTGCCTAGGGGGGTTGTGGAATCCCTCAGCCCAGGCTTATCGGTTAATCGTTTACACGACTATTCGGTAACCAACTTCACTCCTCTCTCCAGGCCTGATCTTTCCAGCCCTTACTCACGAGAGCCACCCGCCAGCCTCTTGGCTCTGTCTGCCTTGCCCAAGCCCCCGGCCCGCAGCACTGAGGGGGCTGCGCCTGGCGGGCTCTTTGGGGGCTAGCACCGAGGAGTCTGATTTTCCAAGGCGCTGAGCCCCTGCAATGCCAGGCGGCCTGAGCAGCACCCCGGACCCCTGGTGGTTTGCAATCCACAGTTTAAAGTCCCACCCGAACGGACGGGGTTGGTCTGGTGGATGGCCGGATCCTAGCTCAGTCCTACGCCCGCCCGTCCTGTCCTCCGACTCCTGTAGGAAATCGCCCAGCCCCGATCCCGGGGAAAACGAACCCAGAGGCTGATGTACGGGCCAGACGTGGAGAAGCCACAAGGAGCCTTTCAATGGGGTGTAGGCACCTCATGCCCCTTCGTGCCCCTTTGAGAATCCCATCCCTGAAAAAAGCTTTCTCCTCAGGACGGGGGGTTCAGTTTCCTCAAGGTTCACTCTGCTACGGGGAGATCGGTACAACTGGAAAACGGGACTCAGACACTCTCGGGGCAGGGGGTGTGTGGCATAAACATGACTCCGCCCTGACCGGATCGGATTTCTGATCTCCCGTCGGGCAGCTGTATCGTGCGCCAGGGTACATCGGGGCGGGCTGCCGGCAGCTGGCGCCCCAGGCTATCGGCGCCCCCACCTCCACAGCCCTCAATGGCGTGACATCATCATTGGGCGCCTGTTTAACACGGCTGCCCCTGGGGTACATGCTTCCTCATGTCAGCCAGGTGGACCGTTAATTCGGGGGCTTTCTGTCTCTGCTGAATCGGGGTGGGGAACCTAAGGCCTAGGGACCAGGTGCAGCCCCCACCTTGCCTAGATCTGGCCCCCTGAAGCTCAGAGCTCCCCCTCAGCATTGGGGAGCCCAACCGCCATCCCCCATGTGGGGCTGGAGCACACAAAATCTACTAGCCTGGCCCCCCCAGGCTCTGGTGTGCGAGGGGAAAGTGGGGAGTGTCTGTCTCCTCAGTCCGGGGCCACGGCCGTGAGGCTTTGGGGTTTGTCTGTCTTCTCACTTGTGTGCAGCCCCGGGCTGATTTTTCTGTGGGTCAGCCCCCCCCCCAACGCAAAAAAGGTTCCCCGCCCGCCTGCTATATCACAGCTCGAGCCGGGCCGGACATGGATTTGTTTTCTGTGGAAAATGGGGGGCAGATGAGGAAAAAATCTAGCATGTTGGATGAAAAATGAAAGAGTTGGATTCTGGACTGTGCCCAGGTGTCTTATGCTCCCGCTTTCTTCCCTCAGCCTGGCTGGCTGCTTGGCATTCCCAAGCTAACCCAGCCGGGCCTTCCACCCGAGAGGCAGAGGCCTAGTTTTAGCTTCTGCGCCGACCCAACCCAGAGGTTTTCCTACGCTTTGAGTCAGAGTGTTTATATAGTTCTCTGCTTTTTTTGTTTCTGATCCTCCTTCCTCTGCCTTCCCAAACTCCACCCCACCTGCAGGATGAATTAAAAAAGCTCTACACACAGCTAGAGGTCCACAAAACCAAGAAGATGACGGCCAACAACCCGCACCTCCAGAAAAAGCGGAGCTCCAAGCGGGGGCTGGGCCGCTCCATTATGAGGCGCCTCACCGAGATCCCGGAGTCCGTGTCCCGGCAGTGCAGCAAAGGCGGCTTCTGGACTCCAGCAGCTCCAGCGTGAAGGTGAAAGAGGACGCCTCCAAGCACAAAGCTTTCTCGCTGAGGAAGTCCCACAGCACCTACGACCACATGCGGGAGCCCAAGGAGGGCGCCTTGCCCTCCAGGCATGACAGCCTCGGCAAGGAACCCCCGCTGCTAGACTCCTTGATGAGGAAAAAGCTGGCCAAGAAAGCCTCCGAGAGGGCCAACAGCGAGTCCCTGGACTCGGCCCCCCTCGTCTACAAGTCTGCCAGTGCCCACAACCTGCTGGCCGACAAGAAACCCCTGCACCCCAAACCCTCCCCCTTGCAGAAATCCCTCAGCGTCCTGATGAGTGCCAGGGAGAAGGCCCTGCTGCTGACCAGCCGGGCGTATCTGGAAGACAGCTGCCAAGCGCCTGGAGAAAACGAGAGGGAGGTGAAGCCGGAAGCGTCCGCTCCTGAAACGCCACCCTCAAGGCACCCGGAGGGCGGGGAGCCTGCCGAGCAGGCCTTAGAGGCTGCCAAGCAGCCGCAGAGCGATGATGCGCCCCAAGGGACCGAGAGCTCCCTCCGGCAGGACAGCTCTGACCGGGCTGCCGTTTGTCCCTGGGAAGGGGACGCGACCCCGCAAGACAAGGCGCAGAAACACGTCACGTACGCCCCGATAAAAAGCATCAGCGTGGACAGCTCCCAGCTGGCGGGCAGGGCGCCCCTGGCCGGCAAGAGAACACCCCCGCAGCCGCCCGTCAGGTACCAAAGCCTGGCTCACAGCCTCGAAAGGAGTGAGCAAACACGGCCTGCCACGGATATGCCCCGTCAGGGCTCCAAAGACAACACTGCGCGGATCAACATCTGTCCGTGGGAGGTGGAGGAGCTTCCGGGAACGACTGAGGAGGCAGAGTGGGGAGACGAGAACGTGCAGCCTCCGTCCGCGGCAGGGCACGGCCGGCTGCTGCCTGCACCTTCCTTCGCGGCAGAAATATGCCCGTGGGAACTGGCGGAGGAGGAGGTTTTGAAGCCGAGCCAGCAGGAGAAGCCGAGCGAACCTGGCGGCACTGAGAAACCACCCGGCTCGCTAGCAAAACCCCTGAGTCTTCAAACCCCGCCCCAGAAAAGCTCCATCAGGAGTATAGGGTTAGCCATGAAAGCGTTTCACCGCGTCAGAGAGAAGGGCAGCGTTACGAGAAAGGAGGACGAGGCGAGCCAGAGGAAGAAGGACAAAGACGCAGGCAGCCAATGTGATACGCCCAAACTGGCAGAGACCTCCGCTCCGTCCGTGGGCGGGGCGGCCAAGCGCGAGACCGCAGCCAGAGGTCCCGAGGAAAGCAGGCCGAAGATCATCAGCAAACAAGCCACCATCTGCCCTTGGGAAGAGGAGACTACCAGCCCAGCCCAGCAAAACAACACCACCAGCAAAGTGCTCGAAATATGCCCCTGGGAGGCAAGAGGGGAAGCAGCCGACGATCCCCCAGATGGGTTGGCGCCGGCCGAAGCAGGCAGCGCGGTGGAGAAGAAGGGCTCAAAAGGCACCGGCAACACCATACGGAGGAAGCTGGAGAGGATGCGGAGCCAGTGGGAATCCATGTGCCCCTGGGAGAACACGGAGACAGAGGCGCCGTCCGCAGAAGCTGACGCAAAGCCCGCCAGCCCGCCTAAAGGGGCTGCAAAGAAAGCGGACAGCGTGGAGAGCAGGAGAGCAGAGGTTTGTCCCTGGCAAACGGAGGAGGCGGACGCCAACGTGAACGCTGAAGCCGGCTCCTGGGAGGTGGCTGAAACGCCACCAGGGAAAAGAATGAGACAGGGCCTCTCCCAAGAGGCCAAGAGCTCTGCACTGAAAGCGGCAACAGGTCCATCTAAAACAGCAGACACGGTCAACAGGCAGCGGGAAGCCACCTGCCCCTGGGAGAGCGTGGACACGGAGGAAGCCGCGGTAAAAGCCGACAGGAAAAGCTTTGATCTGACAAAGAAATCCGGCAGCGTGGAGAGCAAAAGGGTAGCGGTTTGCCCGTGGGAAAGCGAGGAGGGCGAAGCCAGCGTTAGCCCTGCAGTCTGCCCCTGGGATGTGTCTCCAGCTCCCTCGGATAAAGGGAAATTAAAGCAGGAGAGAGATGCCGTTTCCAAAGGGGCCGCGAGCCTCTCCCCGAAAGCAACAGCAAGTGCATCTAAATTCCTGGAGAAAGGGAGCTGCCCGCGAGAGGCCATTTGCCCCTGGGAGAGCATGGACATGGAGGAAGCCTTGGGAGAAACCAACAGGAAAAGCTGTGACCTGTCCATCAGCCCATCAAGGAAGTCTGGCAGCGTGGAGAGCAAAAAGGCTGAGGTTTGCCCGTGGGAAACGGAGGAGGTCGAAACCAGCGTTCGCCCTGAAATCTGTCCCTGGGAGGCAGCAGATGCACCATCAGAGAAAGGGACTTTACTAAGAAAAGCTGGTGTGGCTTCCACAAAGGAGCAGAGCAGCAAGTCAAAAGCAACGGGCCCATCTAAAGCCCTAGAGCCGGGGAGCAGCCACAAGGGACCCCTCTACTCTTGGGAGACCGTGGATGTGCAGGAGCCATCTCTAAAACCAGCTTCCAAACGTTTCCAGCTGCCCAACGTTGCCTCCAAGAAATCAGACAGTGCTGAAGACAAAAAGGCAGAGGTTTGTCCCTGGGAAAGTGCAGACGTTGAAGCTCACGTTAAAACTGAAATCTGCCCCTGGGAGGAGGCCGCAATTCCATCAGAGAAAGGAGCACAGGATAAAGTTGGCGACCATGGCGTCGCCTTGAAAGCAGCCGCGGGTTCATCCAAACAGCTGGAGAAGGGAAGAAGCCAGACAGAGGCCATCTGCCCCCGGGAGGGCAGGAGCATGGAGGAATCCTCTGTAAAAGCCGACAGGAAAAGCTTTGAACTGTCAAAAGGCCCGTCAAAGGAGAGCAAAAAGGCCGAGGTTTGCCCGTGGGAAAGTGAGGAGGTCGAAGCCAGCATTAAAGCTGAAATATGCCCTTGGGAAGTGTTGGAGGCACCATCAGATAAAGGGAAATTAAGACAGGATGCAGGAGAGAGTGATAAAAAGGGTCTAAGAGGAATGGGAGACATCCCAGCTAAAAAGCTGGAGAAGGAAAGCAGCCAGCGAGAGTCCGTCTGCCCCTGGGAGGACTTCTCTGTAACAGACACGGGCAACATTTCATCGAGGAAATCTGACAGTGTTGAGAGCAAAAAGTCCGATATTTGCCCTTGGGAAGGATTAGATCCAAGAGCTGTTGAGAAAGAAAGTGCAACGGCAGAAAGATGCCTGTGGGACGTCGAAGGAGCCATGCCCCATAAGACTGGAAAGCATGCGGCAGAAACGGCCAGCACAGCTGTCACGGAGACTCCAATGGCGCAGCAGAAAAAAGCAAAAAGCAAACACGCGGGCCAAGCCGAACACAAGCCGCTGCATCGCCTTGGGCCGGACGCCAAGCCCCCGAAAGGTCTCAGCCTGGGCAGTAGCACGAGGGCGGAGGTTCTCTCCTGGGAAGTGGGGGTGGCTCCCATCGTGGGCAGGTGTCTTAGCAAAGGTGGTAGCGTCATGGCGGACATCTGCCCGTGGGAAGTGGAAGGGGCGCCCGCGGGGGACAGAGAAACCAGCCAAACCTCGGAGGGGTGCCCACTGGAGGCTGGAGCGGTCAGTCTGGTTTGTGCCACCCCCGCCAAAAGCAAACCAGCAGAAACACGGGAAGAGGAAGCCGGGGGTCCCAGCCCAACCAAATCAGACATCTGCCCATGGGACTGTGAGTAGCTTTTCCCAGGTGGGTGGGACTTTCATAAAAGGGGAGAAGGCTTCAACCAATGACTGCTTCAATTCTTAACACAGCCCAGTGCATGGCCACGGACCGGGATGAAGGACGTGACTGAGTCCTACACTAAGGGTAGAGGGTGCGGGTGACAAAAATCCCACACGCGAATATCCGTAATCCTCTCAGTCACTGGAAATGAGCCACCTCTCGATGGGCCACTGCTGTCGGGACAGCTGCACTCTTCTGCCTTCACCGAAAACCCAAGCCAGCTGTGAGACTTTGCACATTCCGTTCTTCGTCTGTCCACTCGTCGCAAGGTAGCACCGTGTCCTCTTTGTCAAACCCGCCGTGTCGGAAAGCGTTCAGCCACGTTCACCGGCGGCACGCCCGAGACACTCATCCACAACTGCAACACGCTACACAAAGTCCCAGCGCTCAAGTCAGAGAGAGCAAATGGGAAGCCTTCAGAGGAGGGTTACGTCGCCGGCGGAACGAGGAGGAATAGGAACGGCGTCTTTCGTTGTACAATTCTTCGTTGACCGTTACAGCTATGTGTCTGTTCGTGGATCGTCCGGAAGCATGTGGAACTATTTGGAGTGCCACTCATGGGCCCAAACAGCAGGATAAATCAAACTTAACAAGGGGTCGATAAGCCTTACACCCCAAATGCTGCTCATCTTTGTCTAACGAACACTCACTTATTGCTCCCTTGAGTGACTGACCTGGAAGTTTGAATTTTCCCACGTCACTGACCCTCTCTCCCAGGCGTGAGTCTGCCAAGGCCACCTCCTGCAAGGTACTAAGCATCAAGTTGTTATTTAATGCTGGGATTACGGCAGAGTCCCCGCTCAGGGTTAGTGCTCCGCTGTGCATGGTACCGAGTCTGTAATGACAGTCCTTCCCCCTGCAACAGCTACCAACCGCAGCAATCGAGGGGAGCGAGCTAGTGGAGAAAACGCACCAATGGGAGGACGAGGCAACGGGGAAACAGCTGTGTAAGAAGCAACACTCCGGGCGTACAAGGGGAGTCAGGATTTGAAGATCAGCGCTAGCGAGAGACTTCCACCATTGGAAGGCTCGGATCTTGACCATCAATGAAAAGCCAAACGAAACTGAAGGGTGAGGTGGAACAAGGGGTCGGGGTCAAGGCAAAGAGGAGACCAAGTAGGAAAAGAAAGCGGCTTTCCAAGTCATTGCCAACAGCCTAGCTGGTCTCTCCGAACGCTGCTGCTATCTTCATTTCAGCCCAGGAGAACTCCAACGTCTAGTTTAGGTTCTGAAGCTGGAGAGAAGCTGCTGCTTACGTTCCCCTCTGGTCCCGGGTCACTTTGCTTCCTGGATTTCGATCCCCACAAATCCCCTGACCCTGCACCAGTCGTACGAAATCCGTGCATCTGCAACGAGCCATTTTTGTTTCGTTCCAGTGATGCCCGCTCCGTGCCTGAATGATCTAATTCAACGACCCTCTTTTCTCTGGTCCCAAAAGAAAGTCTCTGCATGTTTTCCTGGGGAATCAGCTAACCTTTCGGCCGTTCCACCACTTTGCTTTTAGCATCCTCTGTATTAACGAACCCCAGGGAACACTCACTGCAGTACCCGCAGTCCATCGGCTAACCTCACGGCACCATTGGGTGAACACCAACTCCAGGGTGTGGAGTGTCTTAACAAGGTCACTCACTTTCTGAAGTACTGTCCTTGATGGTTACTCCTGGGCATGTGTCTACACCATCCCACCCGGTGCGAACACGCCCAGGGCTATCATTCCCAGAAGGCCACCAAGCCTCTCCAGGAAGGGGAATCGTCTGAATCCACGAGTCGCAAGCCTTCACTTTTAGAATGCACAGAGAGGGGGGTTTCCCTGGATGCCTTTTCTGTCCTGGTCATGACCCACCCTCCAGCCATTTTCAGATGGAGCTGAGCCCCGCTATGCCTGCTGGTAGAAAGCCCAGTGCCGAGAACAACCGAATACCACCGAAGCCAGAAGAAGGACCCAGTGTAGGGTAGGGCATAAGCTGGGAGCCTGGCTCCATGCAGCAGGTTCTTAGGGTCCAGCCCACAGTGGGGCTGGAAGCAGGATGGGGCTACAGGGTTTGCTACTCAGATCTGCCCACATTGCCACCCCACAAAAGGAAGAGAGAGGAGTGAGCAATAAACCTTCAGGAGAGCTGCAGGGTCAGACCAGAGGCGCTGCTGGGCACAGGCCAAGTGCATCGGCAGAAGCGCATATGGGAGGTCAGAAGTGCCCACCCCGTGCCTGGTTCCCACCAGTGCCTTGCTCTCCCATCACCACTGCTTGCTGGCTCTCTCTGCTCCTGAAAGCACGGGGCTGTTATACCACAGAACGCCAACGCAGCTGCCGCCTCCTGGAGCTTCCCACGGTAGGAAACGTGGTGCCCCCACCCGGGCAGAGAGACCAGGGGACAATTACAGCCCATGGACAGAAAGAAATACAAGGGGGAGTTTGCCCCACTAGAAATGGGGGAGGAACAGCCAAGGGCAGCCTCGGGCTCTGTCCACACCAGGACAAAAGTGCTGTCGATGTGCAAAAGTGAAAACCGGTCAAACCGATTTTTCAGCCTCCCGTTGTCGACATTTCACGGCCACATGACTAGCTCCCTGTGGAGAGACAGGGCAAAGCATTGTGGGGGAGCATTACACAGGGCAGTGTTGCGGGAAGGCAGAGCTGATCCCTGTGCTTCTTGGGATTCCCTTGTAGCTCGGAGCTCTCCGTGCTGAGGAACGGCAAAGCAGCACAGCAGCCTCTCCAACCCTCCCCCTGCAGCAGCAGCCTGCCTACTGCTGTGTTCCTGGCAGGGCAGAACAGGAGCATCCCAATGATTTGTTCTTTGTTCCCCAAACGGAGCCACACACTCAGCTGTCAGACAAGTCCTGGAGCTTTGAAAGGGGAGGGGCGCATGCCTGCAGGGCAGCAGAGATCCCAAAACACTGAGCAGAGCCATCAGGGCAGGCAGTGTGGGATAGTGGCGGAAGCCAGTTCCCTCGACAAAACAAACAGCAGAATCCACTCTGGCTCTTTATCAACAATGAAGGGAGGGAAAAGACAAAAATCTCTCACGGGGCTGGAAGCTTTTTTGTTGCCAAAACTGGGTGTTTTTCCCAACCAAAGTCACATTGCCGTATAAACGCTCTCGCTGTTCTGTTGCCAAAAGGCAGTTTTTGGTGACAAACCATGCAGGCGAGCCATTAAGAGTCTCCCCCGCCACACTAGTGGTTAGCTGCCCAGGTAGCACGGATATAAGACTATTACAGAGACAGTGTGGGGAGAGAGATGCCCGTTCTGCCAACTCAGTCAACTGATCTGGTCCCTTTCCCCGTCTCTGCAGGAGCCAGGGCTGCTCGGGACAGTAGCTTCCCAGGATTCACCACCTCTGCCTCCTCTCCCTGGGAGCAGTGAGATCCGAGACAGCAAAAGGGAATGTTTTAGCTTTGTCCTCCGTCATGTGGCTTTGGCTCAGGATTTGTCTTCTCCCTCCTCCCTTTCCGCAGGCTGTCCTTTACTTTCTTTGGCTACGTCTAAACTACACCCCGCTGTTGGCAGAGGGATGTAAATTAGACGTATCAAAAGTGCATATGAAGCCGGGATTTAAATATCCTGCACTTCATTTGCATAATGGCAGCTGCTGCTTTTTTCCAAAACGGGGCTTTTTGAAAAAAAACCAGCAGTTTAGACGGGGCATTTTCAACAGAAATGCTCTATTTCGAAAGATCCTGTACTCCAAAAAGGAGGAGTACAGGATCTTTCGAAACAGGGCATTTCTGTCGAAAATGCCCCGTCTAAACTTCCTTTTTTTTTCCGAAAAGCCCCGTTTTGGAAAAAAGCAGCAGCTGCCATTATGCAAATGAAGTGCAGGATATTTAAATCCCGGCTTCATTTGCACTTTCGATATGTCTAATTAACATCCCTCTGCCGACAGAGGGGTGTAGTTTAGACGCAGCCTCTGTGTCCGTAGGAAGTGGAAATGCTAATGTTTTCGCTGCCCGTTTCAGCGCTGAATGTCCCAAGAAATCGATCGCCGGTGTAAGAAAATGTACATACAGAGAATAAAGAGAGTTATCTATATACACGTGGAACTCCCAGCTGTGAAGTTTTGTGATTTATCTCGCAAGACTCTGGAGTCGCTGAGGTTGTGACTCAGAGTAAGAAGCGTGGACTTGTTCATTTCGTGATAGGCCCACGCCGCACACGTTAGTCTGCAATAACGGCGAGGAGTCCTGTGGCACCTTAAAGACTAGCAGATTTGGCACAATGTGGGTAAAACCCCACTTCGGCAGCTGCGTCTGCGCAGTATACCGATTGCAATTCATTTTTCACCTTCGCCCCTCTGATGAAGCAGGCTTTCTGCCGACGAAAGGTGATGCCCTAATAAATCTCTTCTTCTTTCAACTGCTGCGGGACTCCTTGTTGTTTTGGCGGGCGCAGCCTAGCATGGCTACCCCTCTGAGACTCGCACCATGCAAGGAGTTGGTCAGCCTAACTTTCCCCAACGCTGCTCCTACCATCAGTGGAAACTTTTGCATCCCCAGCCTGCCTTTCCGCACAGTATGTCTCACAGTCCTTTCATTAGTAGAGGCCTAGGTTCAAGCAGGCAGGTCACACTGGGAGGGAACCGTGGGTGCAAACATCTGTGCACAAAAACCATTGCATCGGAGAGAGGCAGCATGGTCTAATGAGTAAGGCCCTGGACTGGGGATGCGGGGCAGGGGAGAGGCTGTTCCTGACTCTCCGCCACTGGCCTCTGAGTAAGCTGCTTCCCCTCTCACCCTTTAGTCTTGTCTACTCGGATTATAAATACAGGGGCTGCGTCTAGACTGGCAAGTTTTTCCACTGCACTCAAAGCGGTAACAGGTCCATCTAAAACAGCAGACACGGTCAACAGGCAGCGGGAAAAACTTGCCAGCTGTCTACACTGGCATCTTGAATTTCCGCAAGAACATTGACGATCTCATGTAAGATTGTCAGTGTTCTTGCGGAAATACTATGCTGCTCCCGTTCGGGCAAAAGCCCTCTTGCGCAAATGCTTTTGCCCAAGAGGGCCAGTGTAGACAACGCGGTATTGTTTTGCGCAAAAAAGCCCCGATCGTGAAAATGGCGATCGGGGCTTTCTTGCACAAAACCGCGTCTAGATTGGCCATGGACGCTTTTCCACAAAAAGTGCTTTTGCGGAAAAGCGTCCGTGCCAATCTAGACGCTCTTTTCCACAAATGCTTTTAACGGAAAAACTTTTCCGTTAAAAGCATTTGCGGAAAATCATACCAGTCTAGACGTAACCAGGATTTCTACAGCACCACTTTCCGTTGGATGGGGGCCTCTAGGTGCTAAATAATATGTTAATGGGAGAGCACTACAGGCAGAGCAGATACTGCGGTGCATGGTGTGTTTCACTGCACCGTTAGCAGGGCCGTCCTTAGGATGTACGGGGCCCTACGCCGTACTGTTAAACTGGTGTCTCTGAGCCCGACAGCAGCTATGGGGGGGGGTGCGATTTTTTGGAGATGTGGTTTCATCATCTTCAGCAACACACTCATAAAATAATCAACTTGGGTCCTGTTGACTGGCACGGGAAATTTAGAAGCTGGCAGGACAGACCTGGGGTTAGCAAATGCCTGTGAAATACTTTCCTGGCCTCTTGCACGGCTCTTTCACAGGTTCAGTGTTCTGCTTTGTCACTTGGAAGTTCACTAGATCGTCTCCGGAGGAAGCCGAGCCACAGAACAGGGATGGGAAGAGGCAGGTGGTGAACCTTGAGACCCAGCAGTGCCCCAGATTTTCAGGAGCCCTACGCAACGTATATTCTGCGTATGGGCGAGGACAGCTCAGGCTCACAGGGTTGAGGGTCAGCGCGGACTTTCTCCCAATGAGCACAAACCCGTTCAACTATCCCAGTAAGACAGGAGCAGGCACTTTTAACTGAGCGGCCAAATGCTATGGATAAAAACCAGTGGTGGGAAAGCACTTGGATCTGCTTTTCTATTGTACTACAGCCTCAAAGCAGGCAGCTGTCTGAATTTTTCTTAGCCAGCCATTCCCCGCCCAGCTTGCACGTGGTGTGGGCTGTAGAGCGACTTCCCAGTATGCCCCGACTGGCCTCAGAAAGCTGCTTGGAAGGTGCTATTTTTTGGGGTAGGCATGGGGATACATTTGGGTTCAAAAACCAAAGGGATTCGTAACGAGGCCCCTTGGTGGCTTTGCTCCCCATGGAGAGCAAGGCCTCGGTGGCAGTTTTAGAAATACTCCATGTGCTGGAGACAGTCAAGAATTATGGGAAAACAGGTCCCTGGATGGCTGTTTGCCAGGATGGGCAGGAATGGTGTCGGTCTGCCAGAAGGTGGGTGACGGGGAGGGCTCACTGGATGATTGACGGTTCTGTTCATTCCCTGTGGGATACCTGGCATTGGTCACTGTCGGCAGACAGGACACTGGGCCGGCTGGGCCTCTGGGCCGATCCAGTCTGGCCGTTCTGATAACTAGGTAAGAGTCTCTTACTGCAGGCATCACATGGAGCTGCTGGGATCACACCTCCTTTGAGGCAGCAGGAAAAATGCTCTCCTATCCCATTGCTCTTGGCGGCCAGCGGCAGACCAGGGCTGCAGGTGTTTGCTAGACCACAAAGAGCTGAGCTGTTAGGAGCAGCAAAGGGAACGAGCCCCAGGCCAGGTCAGGAAAGCGCCACTGGCTTCTCCAAGAGTCCAGCCATGCAGCGTGTGGTGTAAGCACCTTCCAAAGCCTGCCTCTGGGCAGCTGACGGGAATGGAGTGTTTCCTGCCGGAGGGTCGCTCCCCCGGGAAAGCGGGAGGGGCACTTAGATGCTTGTAAGAAGTGTTTCTGTTTCTAAGGCCGCCAGACTGTGCTGTGTTTGATCCTTCAGGCTGCAAGCTCTCTGGGGCACGGGTGCCGGGGTGCCGCACCTCCCAGCACAGCCTCAAGCGCTACTGTCAACAGCAATTTTCTATCGGCGCCGGTTTCCCAGCAGTGAGCAGCTTCTGTCCATCTGCCAACATCTGTATGTTTCAAAACGCAGCTCCCTCCAGACTGGGATTGCTGTGATTGCTCGGCGCCAGCAGTGTGCTAGCGAGGGCTGCACCTCGTGACCTCCGTCCAGTCACCTGCTCATCACTGCCTCTTTCGGCAAGCCAAGGAGGGTGGGGACTTAGGTGGTTGTAGGCACTAACCCTACTTTGCTGTGCTCCCCAGGAGGGGGACAGGGCAGTTTCTACTTACAAAACAGGACCCTCTGCCGCGTTCCCCCCGCTCGCCCAGTGCACCCAGCCCGCTGGCTCTGCAGCAAGACTGAGGCAGAGAAAGGGCAACCGGCTCCCCAAAGCTGCCCTTGCAAATACCAACCCAAAGCAAAACGGAAGGGAGGAGCTAACGGAGCTGGTGGGGCCTTTTATTCTCCTGCAAGGAGGTTTAACAGGTCGTTCGATTTAGGGCTTTAATTCAAAATACCGGGTCCCTGCCGCGTACAGACGTGGGCAGTTAGTCTGGACTTGTAAATTTCAAAAAATGGCGACCGGCCGGGAAGATGCAAATCAAGCGCGGGATATTTAACTTTGTAACTTCGAATGCCTACATTAACCCCCCCCTAGTTCGAACTGGGGGGCTAGTGTAGACATACCCTGGGAGCCGGCTCCCAGTAAGCCGGCTGCAGGGGGGAGCCAGCTGCCGCCGTGCGCTGAAGACTCAGCAATATAAAGCTTTATACTGGCAGAGTCCACAGCATGTAACTGTGTAAATTACTAAGATTTTCAGCAGTTACACGGTTTCTTACTTAACCACTTTTACCATCTCTAGTAGGGGCACAGGAGCGGAAGAGGAAGGAAAACAGGGAGCTCAGAGTCCAGGAGCAGGCACCAGCCACTAAGTGAAGGGAAAAAAAATAAAGATC